GAGCTAAGCCCGTGCGAGTTAAATAGGTAATTCTAAGTTTACAAATGCAAGATAATATAGTCAAGATTGATTATAATTGTCAATAAAATAATTGTATAGGTATAGTTGAAACCAAATACGGGACATAAGGGAGAACAAATAAAAATTAGGGCATACAATATTAAATATATACTAATATTGTTTGAGGAGATTCCGACATTAGGATTTGTGGTTAAGTTCTATTAAGACTTTAATATTAGAATTAGATTAATGGTGTAGTTATAATTCTATATTAGACTTTAATATTAGAATTAGACTAACGGTGAATTAACGGAAAAGTTAAATGGATAATCATATAATTAAGGATAAATTAGAAAATCTTAAAAGAAAAAAAATTAAAACCTGAACAATATGAACCATTCATTTGATTTAATAATTTGGCGGTCATTTTTTCTACCCAATGTTAATAATTAAATAAATTCGCTGGTCAAATCCGCTAGTATAATCCGCTAACGCTAACCGCTAACTGCTGATTGTCAAACAAGGACATTGCGAGGTAGTTCTCACTTCAATTTGTTGTGTGATTTGAATACTCTCTTTGTCACAAAATCTCTCAAGTAGTTAATATGGTTGGCTTTATTAATTATATTTTTTTAATTTTTTCATGGTATTAATAAAATACTTGGTAAATAAATATATAGCATTATTTTGTATTATAACTTTGATATTTAATTAGAAAAATAGTGCACAAAAAAGATAATAGATAATGTAGTGAATATAATCAATTGATGAATTTGAATGTAAAAATTTGTACATTTGAGAAAAATAAAGACAATATAACTAATGAAAATATTTCTTTTAATTAATTTATTAATAATTAATAATTTTTTTTTCACTGAATAAAGACATTGTAAGGACAATGTAGCGAATATAATCAATTAATAAATTTGAATATAAAGAATTTTTATATTGAAGAAAAATAAAGACAATATAACTAATAAAATTATTTCTCTTATTTTTTTTTGAAAGTAAATTATTTCTCTTATTTAATTTATTGATAATGAATAAAATTTTTTTTGAATAAAGGCATTGAGGACAGATAAATTTAAATTAAAGAAATGCATATGTATTATTTTTTGTTGTAACTACTAAATTATTATTTATATAATTTAATAAGAGTAAAATAGAGTACTAATTATGCCAACTTTGATTGGGATGAGGTTCGAACCTAAGACTTTTTTTTTTATTGAAATCAATGAGTAAGTTAACGGTGAACTAACGGCTATTCTTAAAATTTTAACGGAATTAGTAACGGTGTGTGGGTATTTTAGGAAATTTTAGTGTAAAATTTAAATCTGATCAATCTTTTAATCAATCTGAGCCATTCATTTGATTAAAATCTGTGACCGTCATTTTTTCTACCCATTATAGGCCTAACTCTTTTGGGCTCTTATTAGTATATATAGTAGATTTGAACCAGACGCCTCCTAAATAAATCTACACAACAATAATCCAATCGTTATGCTATGGACCCATGTCCAGCATGCAATGTGGACACGATAACGGTGTCACGGCACCGTTATCTTCCACTTTTTTTTTCTTTTTCTTTTTTTTTTTAATTTTAGACCGCTTGGTTATAGGAGTATATGTTCATAATTTTATCACTATATGTTCATAATTGTAAGTTCATAATCTCAGAGCTCTGTGTTCATAATTCCATAACTGTACATTCATACTTCCATAACTGTACATTCATAATTCCGTAACTGTATATTCATAATTCAATAACTGTAAATTCATAATTTTTGAAGCTCTATGTTCACAATTTTAGAGCTCTATGTTTATAATTTTATCACTGTATGTTCATATTGTATGTTCATAATGTCAGAGCTCTGTGTTCATAATTCCATAACTGTACATTCATAATTCCATAACTGTATATTCATAATTCTATAATTGTACATTCATAATTCCATAACTGTACATTCATAATTCTATAATTGTACATTCATAATTCCATAACTGTACATTCATAATTCTATAATTGTACATTCATAATTCCCTAACTGTACATTCATAATTTCATAACTGTACATTCATAATTTTCGAAGTTCTATGTTCACAATTTTAGAGCTCTATGTTCATAATTTTATCACTAAATGTTCATAATTATAAGTTCATAATGTCAGAGCTCTGTGTTCATAATTTCATAACTTACGTTCATAATTCCATAACTGTACATTCATAATGCCACAAACGAATAACGCCGTTAACCGCGAGACAAAATCAATTTTTTTTAACTGAGATGCCGCGTTTTTTCCTGAAAACGACGTCGTTTTGGACACGAGTCCACGGCATAATTTGCGACAATAATCACACACATATAATAATTGTAGGACCTTAACTCAAACAAAGAACTTTCTATACTCTTAACCATATTAATTTGTAAAAGCAGTGTCCTTAATTTGGATACCCCGGCCCTCCTGAAAGTGATGCAAAGAAGACTAACACTAAAATGCCTTTATAGAAGTAGAGAACTTTTTAAGTCGACAAATTAAAACCTTAGCTTTATGAGTACTACTTAGAGAAAAAGACAGATAGGAGAGAGAGAGAGAGAGAGAGAGAGAGAGAGTGGGGTTATGAAGTAGACATAAGAATAAAGAGAGGAATGAAATGAGATGGTGACCATATAATATGTGGTTTGGAGTGGAGTAAAGTGATATATGATGGGGTCAAAAACTTTGAGGTTGAGGGAGGCCACATGGTTTCTGAGTTCCTTTTTGGTGGGTGGGTTTCCTAAACATACACTGTTCCAGAAATTGGTACAATTTCAACTGCTTCTCAACAAAAACATTGTGCTACCTTTTTGCCTAAATACCATGTTTGCAATTCTTCTACCCAAAAGGTTATTGAATCCCCCACACCCCAATAGAACATATAGGAAGATGTAAATCATGATAACTCACAGAGGCTAGATCTCTCCCTCACTTTGAGAGGTTACTCTCATACTGTCGCTGGTGAGACTTGACCCCTGATCATTCTTCGACCAACTGAGCTACAGAGCATCTGGAAGGATGTAAATAGTGATAACTCAACTGAATCACAGAGGCTAGACCTCCTCCCCCTCAGAGGTTGCTCTCATACTGCAGCTAGTGAGACTTGATCCCTAGTCATTCTTTCAAATTTCACTCATATGACCAACTGAACTGCTCATGCGTACACTATGTTTGCAATTCAACCAAAGGTTTCATTGCTGTTTTTTTTGGGGGGTAATGGAAAACAGTACCCATCCTGGTTATACTGTGTGGTAAAACAAAGCATTAGGTGATGTTTTGTTTGAAGAGATTTACTACGGATCGTCCTTCTCTGACGCGACAATTAACCATTAATCGTTTAGGAAATTTTTTTTTACTACTTTTGCTTTTAGCCCAACCATTGAAGAGTGTGTGGGTGGCAAGGGTAGAATCATATCCCAAGATGAAACTAATTTTGTGATCCTAGCTATCAAATGATCTCATAGTTAACTCAGACCAAGAAAATTAATAAACAATTCTCACGAGAAGTTAAACTTGAGAGAATACAAGTATTTCATAAAAACAATTTTTAAAATATGTAAAGATATCCAGAAAATAATAATAAATAAGTAAATTCCTCATAATTTAAGAGTTGAGGACAAAATTCCCCTACGGTCACAACTTCAATAAAACTTGTATTAGACTATCTCACATATCATTATTCGTGGTAAGTCGGGTCAAATGAACATGTAATACTTTTGAGAAAAATGTAATATTAATCATGAATAAAATGTCCATTACTTAAAAAATGTAATACTTTTACATTATGATTTAAAAGTATTACATTTTCTCTTATAAGTAACAAACACTTATAAACATTACTTATAAGGGTAAGTGTAATACTTTTGTGAAAAAATATACGTAGTAATTCTTTTACATTTGTTTGATTTAAAAGCACTCTCTTTATAAGTAACAAACATTGTATTTCTTATTAGTATTACATTTTTTTAGTATAAGTATTACATTTTCATATTGACCCTTCTCATGGATTCAAGTGTGACCCTCAATAAACTGTGGAAGAAAAATTACTCCGTATTTTCTATGGATATAATAACCAACAAGTAGAGTTGGCAATTCGTATAAACGGATTTGATAATGAGTTGACAAGATAACAATACGAACACAATAAAACTAAATAAGAACACTACATGTTAAGGTTAACACGTTAGAATTTTGAACATGAATACAAACGCAATTTTTAAACAAGTTAACATGATAGCCACATTTAGTTAACACAGGTTTCGAGTCTACACAATACGATATAACACAATAACCCACGTAGAACCCATTAAACATGTTAATATAATTTTCTTTTAGAAAAATCTTTGTTATTAAATCTACAAAATAGTAAAGATATTTAATTCATAACATACCATAATATTCATAAAATGTTTTTAAAATAACATTCAAAAATCATAATTAATGCTAATATTAATAAGCTAAACAAAGTCTTAACAAGTTATGCAAGTTGACCCGTTAAAACACAAATCTTAAAAGTCAACTTGTTAACGACCCAAGACACATTAAAGGTAAACACTGACCTGTTTATTTTCATGTCTGATTTCGTGTCGTGACACAAATTACCAGGTCCACAAACTAGGTTTTAGCAAATTACCTATCTAACCTCTCTACAACAAGAAGACATGCGCAGACATAGCATTCATTTTGGCAATGATATCCCTTACCAACAAATCAACAAAATTGGTGTCAAAGGCTAACTGATAATCATTACCATCAAATGCTTAAAACTAATAAAGATTAGAAGATAAGGACTGGGTGCTATCATCTCACATCATATCATTTCTTAATCACTCATTAATTTCTTTTTTTCACATTTAGTTTCACACTTCCATCCTGGCATACATGATAATAATTATAATTCAATCATAATTATTAAAATCCTTAAATAATCAGGAAACCAAATACTTTCTATACTCGAGAATAAAGTAGAGGTGAACCATAACCTTTCATAAATTGTGAAAATTACACTTTTAGTTCCATGAGGCAATATTTAATCTTGAATTTATATATGCTAAATGGGCTACTGTATATCAGCTGGCTAAAGTTCTCCATTAATGGCACAAAACAATATACATATCATCACGGAACACATTACGCAAAATCCTGACAACTTCACCACAAGTCTTTTTTTTTTCCCAATTTCCATCATTTCTTAGTGAAATAAACAGCATCACTACTGTCATTATCATATGATTTAAAACGAATATTTGTATTGGGTAAATGAATAAAGATAAGTGTGCATTTACTAAAATGAGAGAATTAAAGCAAACACAGTCTAAGATATTTGCAAAGGTAACCATTGCTACGATACTCCAATCATATTGCAAGTCACTAATTAGCACTAAATAAAAGCAGCAAATTTTCATATTTAGTTCATGAAAAACTACATGCACCTATAAACAGATAACATTGGTTCAAAAATTAACCATGTTGCAAATTGCAATTTTACCGAATCAAATGCAGTGATGTACCACCAAGTACAAGATAGTCATTGTTCCATGGAGTTACTAACAGATCAAAATTGGTTCAACCCTTCAGCATCTATAAGCAAGCAAAACATATGATGATGGCAATCGAGCAGTGAGCTTACTGGGTTCAAGTGTCTGACTGAAAGAAGGTTAGATGGCAATTGTTCCCGCTTTAATTGAAATAACGAGCACTATATGATGATAGCTGGTGGAACTGCAGATGGAATCATGAATTATCTATTAAAGAGTTTAACTGTTTTCGGAATTTTGATATTTTGCTTGCTTCCACTGCCATGACCAAACCAGTCATCCGGTAATCTTTGAGCTGCAATAAGAGAAGATGGATCAAATTAAGGGGAATTATATTATGCATGATCAGATTTAACAAGTTTTTAAACAATTACCAGTGGCACATACATTAGAAAATGAAAACATTCATGTCTAGTCTACTAATCTTTTGCACAGAATTTAAAGATTTGAAACACTTACCTCATCAGTTCTGACTGGCTGAGAGTGCATAGGGAAAGTGAAGGACCAAGAGCTTAGCTGGAATTTACTTTAAAAAGTCAGTGAGCTCCTGATTCAAATGTGAAAAATACAAAACAAGATTCCAAGAACACCAGTATTGTACCTCATGAAGTATTTCTTCCTCAGGCTTAACATATATTATAGCTTCATCACCACTTTTCCTTGGTAAAGTTTTTTTGTCTGCATTTATATGCTGCATAAAAATAAAGAAAATACTATTATCAATGCAAGAGTGCAAGGCTATCTATCAATCAAATGAAAACAAGTTGGACAGATCAGAAAACAATTGCGCATACCTTGTAAATTTTACTGACCACTAGATAAAACTTGAAGCAAAAAGATTTTCGAAGCTCTTCTGTGGGCTACAAGAAATGGAACTCAGAGTCTAATTAACTAATTAAAGAAAAAGAAACAATCATAAACAACTCAAATCCTAATAATTTTACAATCTAACCTCGTCTTCTGTAGCCCATGAGATTTCATCAAAGAGGCCGTCATAAAGGGGAGGCAAAAGCTGTGGAGGAAGATTTACTACGCGTTGGGAGACTAACAGTCCAACGTCATTGGATTGCTCTTCAAGCAGCGAGCTCAAGTTAGCTTGTACATTCTTATCTTGGCATGCAGTAAGCAGGAATTTCTTGAGCTCCATTATACACTTACTGTTCTGCAGTACAAAAACCCTTAATTGACATGAGCAAGTAGTCCCTGGACTAGAGATTAATTAATACTTAATTTCTCTCATTGCCAGTTACTAGGCACTTAGAAAGTATAATCACATACTAGTATGCAAGCTAAGTGGCTTATTGAGTTATCGACTGATTTTTTCTTTTAGGTACATTGACTTCCGGAATAATTTGTTTATGTTTATTATATACAATGAATAAAGAAATAGGGTAACAAAAGTATGTTGCTTGCCTTATATCTTCCCAAGTTAAGAGCACTGATAACAGAGTAAATTCCTTCATCTTCATCATTCGCTATCTTAACAACAGTCCCTACTGTGGGTTGTCCCAAGATTAAGTCCACAAAACCACTCAAATCCCACTGTTTATTATTAAGGTAGGTCTGCAGGAGAACCTTCACTCCATGGAAGTCATCAGGCTTGGGATCAAAGAACTCAAAGTCAGCTTGGACAGTGCCCTTCAATTAAAAGAATGTGTTAACCCATAGATAAATAATAACAAATTTAAAATAGCAAAAATCCTGTCTATTCTTACTTCAAACTCTTCATCAGAAGAATCAGAATGCTTATTCTTGCCTCCTTGGGTGTGATTTAGAACCCCATTACCTGGAAGCACAAATTCAAGCAGTGCAAGTTTGAGAGTCATACCAGAAAACAGGAAAGTTCACTGTTTTAACAATTTACTAAAATACTGCACCTGATGAGCTGGGAAAATTTTTTCCCCGTAGTCCATTGTAAATCTTGCGCTTGACCTTGTTATCTGAGGCATGTTGGGCTATAGATCGAGCAAATGGAGAGAAACCGAAAGGTTTATATCTTAACAATCGACGATGCCTTGTGAGTTTATGAGGCATTATATTGATTATTGATCTAGTATACCTGAACAAAAGCACCAGATTAAGAATATGCCATTCCATGTAAACTTACAAAGGGAGTTGAGAATGTACTTAGAATAGTTACAGCTAATTGCAAGGCAAAGTAGACATCAAAACTCAAGAGAAAAGGTCACTAATGTACAACATGGATGCTACAAAAACAAAGATATGAAGGGGACCCTTGACAAAGAAACAGTATAAAACATGATGGATTAAAGGGAATGCATACAATGTTACCGAGGGGCATAGGGCACATTCGTACTTCTCAGGGATCTTGCAAGATTTAAAGAGTTTTGGAAAAAAAAAAAAAAAAATTAAAATTAAAACCTGACTACTAGAGGTTAAAGTTATTTCAACAATCAACACATGTGCACATGCATACACACATGTATATCCATATCTGATCTACATTACCATATTTGCTGGAGGATTTTCTCCATTTTTCATCTCTAGTTTTCCAAACCTTGCAATTTGATTCAATTTATAGAAAAACAAAGTTATTTAAAATTTAATTATTTTCTTTCATATTTATTAAAACATAAATGTCAATTATAAGTAACAATAATATTGACAATGTGGGCATAATACCCAATTTAAGGTGTATATACCAAGTCAGCTCCTCAAGATTAGCTCAAACTCTTTTGAGCTGAGCTCAAGCTCATTGTTATGTAGGGGTGGCAATGGAGCGGGATGACATCCCCATCCCCACAGAGAAATTTTGGGGACAGGGATTCCAATCCCAACAACACAAAATCAGAATCAAGAAAAACCCATGTCTGATCAAACACTGAATAAAAATAAAAAAGAATTAATTAAACATTGGAATAGGCAGAGTAATCAACAAAAAACCAAGAACAGATTTTTCCCTCAATTGAAACCCATCATAAAACACAAGAATCAACAAATAAATACATAAACCCAGACAGCACTTCTAACAGAAAACTTTAATCAAACCTCACCTTAGTAAAACAAGTCATAACCTTATCATCATAGTACTAAACAGACTAACAGGAAACTTTAATCAAACCTCACCTTACTAACACCGCCCCTCCCCCGACGATGAATGAAAAAAATCTCCCATCCCCATTCCTCTTTTTTTGTCCACATCCCCCTAGAACTACTGAGTACTACTGCTACTGTTGTTGTTGTTATCCTATTTTATTTTATTTCCTTCCCTTTACTTTATTACACTGAAAAATAGATGCAAATCATGCAAGCACATGCAGCAATATTCACATTCCTCCTAAACGTTAAAATGTAGTCATAGACTCATAGTCCTATGAGCGTGATTGCTTCATCAACCTTACAAACATATAATACATATAAACTATTATGTGTATGAACCATAAAAAGTGATTTGAGCTCAAACTCAAGTTAATCAATAAGGTATTCAAGCTAAGCAATTGTGGGTTCAAACTCAAATACACCATTCATCGAAGCACCATTTTGCAACATCTCTTCAACCAAAATGCAGACTTGAAGTATTTCATGTAACAAGGTATTACACACCTTTGAAACTGCTCAAGATATAATGATATCTATTATCAGAACCCAGTAAAAGATTTTAGGGTTGCTTAGGTGCATAATATATGAATATTGGCCCTCCAAATTTTTGAGATATTTATAGCATGGAATTTAGTACCTTGCTGCCGGAGTGTTGAACGGTGAAGCGATGTTGACGGCTGGATGACGGCGACTCTGGCGGACACCGGACGGAGGAATTAGGGATTAGGAATTAGGATAGTCAGATTAGGGAAAAAAATTTTGGGAAAATAGAACTATGTTGGATCTGGGCTGCAACTCTGCTAGGTTTTTGAAAAATTATATTTACTTTTGTTATGAAATGAAACAAAATAATAAATATATTTGTGTTCAGATGTATGTAGTGACTCTCCTATACAGGGCGGAGTAAGGATTTTCTTTGAAGAGGGTGAAGAAGCAAAGGTAAAATAAATTCAAAAATATTCAAATATAAAATATCAAATACAAATAAGATTGTTAAAATACAAAATACATTATAAATTACGCTACAAAGGTTTATGATGAACTATGGGATAATACTTTTTCTTTTAATACTAGTATTTGCGCCCGTGCGATGCACGGAATAGATTTGTTGTAATATATTAAGACTATTTGGATTGATATATAATTATTTAAATTAGAACATCAAATATTATATAGTTCAATTGGATATACGGGTTGGATCTTAAGCAAATAATTGCTCAAATTAATAGCTAATGTGTAGATGTATGCATGTAGTGTTATAACTTTGGAGATTTCATTTATCATTGTTTAGTATTTTTTTTTTATAAATTAGACAAATATGTTCGTTCTCTAGCAACTCAGTTATATGAATAAATTGTTATCTTAATTCATTTGTATGGAGGATATTTTTTTTTGTCTATACATATAGCAATTTTGTCATTTAAAAAACATAATATCAACGATTTTATTTACACATTGTTGAAATCTCTTTGTAGACGACTTTAGTAGTAGCAACACAATCTTGTCCATCATCGTCTAGAGCTAACCCCTTCAATTGATCAGGATGGGTGACTCCGTGAAAATATATAATGGTATAATATTAGTCAATTAGCGATCATTTTATATTTTGAATAAATCAGTAATATCATGTTCATTTTCAACCAATTATTCTTTTTTTTTTTAGTCAATTAGAATATCATATGGAGTGATATTTTTACCTAATTTGTGTTCCATTTTTAATTGATGATGTATAATATTATTATTGAAATATTTCTGTTCCATTTGTAATTTACCTTTACTATTTTTTAAAATATGCATTTACTATTTATGATGTAGAATATTATTATTGAAATATTGGCGTTCAATTTTAGTTTCCCTTCCATTTTTACTTAAAATGCAATGATCTAACCATTTTTTTTTTCATATTAGTCAATTATGGATAATTTTTTATTTGCAGTCAATTATTAATATTCATTTCCTTTTATATTTTCAATCCATTAGTAATATTATATTCATTTTCATCCAATTATTTCTTTTTTTATTTTTAGTCAATTAATCAATTAGCGAACTAAAATATCAAATGCAATGATATTTTTACCCAATTTTCGTTTCATTTTTAATTGCTAATTTAGAATATTATTATTGAAATATTTCCATTTCATTTTTAATTTTTGTTACATTTTTAATTTACCTTTACTATTGTTTAAAATATGTCTTTAGTATTGATGATATAGAATATTATTATTGAAGTATTTCCTTTTCATTTTTAATTTACCTTTACTTGATAGTGTAGAATATTATTATTGAAATATTTCAATTCTATTGTTTAAAATTGTGAAAAATTTATGACATACTTTGTATTATACTGTGTAATATTATTGTGAAAAATTAAATTGCAATGATCTGACCATTTTTTTTTCTATTTTAGTCAATTATGAATCTTCTCTTATTTTCAAACAATTATTAGTATTCATTTCTTTCAATTAACCTAATGTTTGTTGTCAATCACCTTGTGCTCATATGGCATGTAGTGACCTCTCTCATGTGGGAAGTTATGAGATTGAGCCTCATTGAAGGCATTGGTTGAGAAAATATGTTTGAATAGATACTTATTTATTTTTTCAATTTACCTAATTTTCATTCCATTTTTAATTGATAATAATATAGAATATTTTTTGTAAATAGAATTTTGTTTTTAATTATATTATAGATTTTTTTTTTCTTTTTCTATTGTTTGGGTGTGAAAGTAAGGAAGAAGGATTTTGTTTTTAATAATGGTATAGATTGGGAATCTTTTTATATTTTCCTATTTAACTGATTATTATTAGTATTAATCAGTGAATTTCGATTCTTTTTCTATTTTTAGTGAATTAAGGATAATTTTATATATTTTTATTTTTAATGCTAATTTTTAATTTTATTGATTATTATTAGTATTAATTATTCAGTGAATTCCATTTCCTTTTCTATTTTTCGTAAATTATGAATCTGTTTTTTTTTTTTTCAAATTTTTTTTGTAGGATTTTTTTTTACTGTTATTTTTATTATGACCCTTTTAAAAAAAAAAATACTTTCATTTTCATTGAATTAAGAATCCTTTTTTATTTTCAATTTTACTGATTATTATTAGTATTAATCAGTAAATTTCATTTTTTTTTTCATTTTTAGTGAAGTAAGGATTTTTTTTCTTCATATTTTACTGTTAATTTTCTTACTGATTATTATTATTATTATTATTATTATTAATTAATCAGTGAATTCCGTTTCCTTTTCTATTTCTCGTGAATTAAGAAACTTTTTTTATTATTCTAATTTTTGGTAGAATTTTCTTTTTTTACTGTTTTCATTATTATGACCCTATTTTTTTTCACACCCTTCCGTTTCTTTTTTCCATTTTCATTGAATTAAGACTCATTTTTTATTTTCCTATTTTACCAATTATTATTAGTCATAATCAGTAAATTCCATTTATATTTTCATTTTTAGTGAATTAATGATCTTTTTTTACTGATTATTGTTAGTTTTAATTAATTAGTGAATTCCGTTTTCTTTTCTAGTTTTTGTGAATTAAGGATCTTTTTTTCTATTCTACTACTAATTTTTTTTACTAATTATTATTAGTATTATTAATTGGTAATTTTTTTTTTTTTATAGTTTGTGCGGGAAAGTAAGAAATTGGGGTTTTGTTTTTAAGAATAATATAGAATTTTAGTGAATTAAGGATCCTTTTTATAGAATTCTCTTTCAATATTTAAATACATTAGCATAGTAATTGCACAAAAGAATGAAAGAAAAATTATTAGAATAATATAATTTTCACCTGTTCGATGCACGGAATGAATTTGTTGTAATATATTAAGAATATTTGGATCAATATATAATTATTTAAATTAGAACATCAAATATTATATAGTGCAATTGAACATATGGTTTGGATTATTTATGTGTTTTGATGTTATCAATGCTTAAATTTGAGCAAATGATTGCTCAAATTAATAGCTAATGTGTAGATGTACGCATGCGGTGCTGTAATTTTGGAGATTTTATTTATCATTGTTTAGTATTTTTTTTTTATATATAAATTCGGCAAATGTGCTCATTCTCAAGCAACTCAGTTATAGGAATGAATTACTATCTTAATTCTTTTGTATGGAAGATATATATATTTTTGTCTAGATATATAGCAAATTTGTCATTTAAAAAAAAATCAACGATTGTATGTATACATTATTGAAACCTCTTTCGACATTGGTAATAGCAACACAATCTTGTCCATCATCGTCTATAGCTAACACCTTCAGTCCACCATGATGGGTGACTCGAGTGAAAATATATAATGGTAGAATATTAGTCAATTAGAGATTTTTTTTATTTTTTTTTAAGTCAGTTAGTAATATCATATTCATTTTCAGCCAATTTTTTTTAATCAATTAGTCAATTAGAATATCATATGCAATGATATTTTTACCTAATTTTCGTTCAAGTTTTAATTGATTATGTATAATATTATTATTGAAATATTTCCGTTGCATTTTTAATTTAACTTTATTGCATTTTTAATAATATTATTATTGAAATATTTCCGTTGTAATGATATGTCTTTATTATCTATGATATAGAATATTATTATTGAAAATTTCCGTCCAATTTTAGTTTCCATCAATTTTTAATTAAAATGCAATGATCTAACCATTTTTTTCATATTAGTTAATTATAGATCATTTTTTATTTGTAGTCAACTATTAATATTCATTTAATTTTATATTTTCAGTTAATTAGTAATATCATATTCATTTTCAACCAATTATTCTTGTTTACTTTCAGTCAATTAGACGATTAGAATATCAGATGTAGTGATATTTTACCCAATTTTCGTTCCATTTTTAATTGATGATGTAGAATATTATTATTGAAATATTTCCGTTTCATTTTTAATTTTCGTTGCATTTTTAATTTAACTTTATTATTGTATAGAATATTCCTTTATTATTGATGATGTAGAATACTATTAATTAAATATTTACTTTTCATTTTTAATTTACGTTTACTTGATGATGTAAATATTATTATTAAATTATTTCCGTTCTATTTTTAAAATTGTGAAAGATTTATGACATAATTATGATTTGATGTACTACATTGTGTAATATTATTGTGAAAAATTAAAATGTAATCATCTGACCATTTTCCTTTTCCATTTTAGTTAATTATGGATCATTTTTTTTAGTCAATTATAAATATTCATTTCCTTTTTAAATTAACCTAATTTATGTTCCTTTTTTCATTTTTAATTTTCAGTCAATTATTAATATTCAGTTATTTTTTCAGTTTACCTAATTTCCATTCCATTTTTAACTGATGATGTAGAATATTATTGTGAAATATTTATGTTCTTTTTTTTTTCATTTTTTTAATAAAAAATTTACTTTTACTATTTACTATTGTTTGGGTGGGAAATCAAGTAAATAGGTTTTGTTATTAATTATTGTATAGATTGACTCATTTACGAATTGGTTCAATAAATCGTAAATATTACTAATTGTTTGGTCACAAAATAAGCTTTATCTAATTATATATATATATTAAATTTTATATATATATATATATATATATATATATATATATATATATAATTTAATAAATTTGAAATTATAAAAATAAAAAATGATTAAACTGTGTAAAGTATATCAGTGAATATTACAGATTATTTGCTTAGAGGAATTGCTTACCGAAAAAACGTTAGTGAATTATTTTATTATAAGCAGCAAAAAATTGTGTATATAAATTAATAAATTAGTTGTATAAATTAAAAATGAAAAAACCAGAAATACATACTTAAAATTAGATTTCTAACTTATTTAATTTTCAGAATTTCGGAATAAATTTGTAATTGTAAATAGTAAGGTAAGAATAATTCTTATGCAATATACGATTTGACAACTCAATTAATATTAAGATTTCGTGCAATAAACATGTATATCATCTTGTGTACTCATTTGAACGGTAATTTATTTTTATACAATAATTATGCATAATAAATTAATATTATGCTAATTAATAACTAATAAAATTTATTATTAATTTGAGCATTAAAATTAGTCTGGATGGAAAAAAATGGATTGGTTCAATAAATTGTAAATATTACCAATTGTTTGGTTAGAAAATGATCATTATCAAATTAAAATTGATTAATTTGACAAATTATACTTAAGATAAATATTACAAATTATTTACTTATATAATACTTTTATTGAATTATTATTTTATAATAAGGAGTGAAAATTTATATATATATATATATATATATATATATATATATATATATATATATATATATATATATATATATATATATATATATATTTTGGTTATTGGTTATTGAATTATTATTGTATATATATTGGTTATTGGTTATATACCATATTATGGATTTACGTCCATATGGGAATATGAAAAGAATAAATGTACAACCTAATTAATACTACGTATTACATAATATCATACCTAATATTACTATAGATGATACCATACGTAATTATTATTTTTAATACCATGCATACGATTACCATACATACTTGAATTGGTTATCAATATAGATTTCTTAAATTGGTTATAAATCATATTATGGTATTACGTCCATGTGAAATAATATTAACATACATAAAATTACCACACATATTTGTTAATATTTAGATTTACTAAATTGGTTACAATTCATATTATGGTAAAATAATTCTTTTGCAATATACAATTTGGAAACTCAATTAATATTAAGATTCCGTGCAATGAACATATATTCCATCATGTGTACTCATTTGACCAAAAATATGAAGGTTGGTTCAATAAATCGTAAATATTACTAATTGTTTTAGTTAGAGAATAATCTTTATCAAATAAAAAATAATTAAATCTCTATCATATTCATATATGATGTTGCTTTAGGTTTTTGTCAAGGAGCACTACTCATGATCCTTAACACATTGCCATGGCTCCAAATCTTTGTTTTACTCATATTGGTGTTGGAAGGACCGTCACATTAGGAAAAAAAATATTAATAGTCCAAACTCATTCAATGATGTCCCCTCTCATGCAAATGATCTGCAAATCTAGTTGCTCAGAATCCACTAATAATCAGATGGTCGGTTTTTTTTTTTTTTTCTATCATTATGAATAGTGCATTATTTAATCCTGCCCAGAGTCCAATAATAAATAACTTTCAACAGATTGAGATAAGGTATTAAAGAAATACCTTTTAATGGGTTGAGCAAACTCGTCCAGATTGATGATGAAGAAGATGAAGTGAAATGTTTAACGATATATATATATATATATATATATATATATATATATATATATATATATATATATAATCATAGTTTATATAATATATGTAGATAGATTTTAAATTTCACCAATGGTATGATTTTATATTCTTTATAAAAAAAAAGTTGAAAAAGGATACGTAGATTTACCAAATGTGCAGGTGTAGTGCAACAACTCTTCTGGATATGGAAGCTTCGGCGGCCACACCTCACGCAAAGAATATGGGTCTTGTTCCTCCTCTTCTTGAAGGTCCCTATTCTCTACACCATTGCTATGCAGTTGCAGAGAATATTCTTTTTCGTTCTTTGTAACTTGGTACTGTTTGTATTGAAGAGAATGTGATGTATATATAGGTGTTTAGATATGATTAAGGGTGTAACAGTTATGGTTTTTATTATATTACCAATTACCAATTACAAATTAAAATTAGGGTTACCATTTTACATTTGCTTACCAAAAAATTATATATAGATACTTAATTTATATTTGAAGAATATATTTACCTAATTTACTTTATATACAGTATTAAGTATGTCTACAGAATAATATATAATATATAATTTCTATATTTTGATAATTAATTAAATTAGAAAATTAGGATATTATATAAATGCCCCTAAGTTTGGGGGGGGGGGGGAATTTATATGGTTTTTATTATATTATTATTATATTATTACTATTATTATTATTGTTGTTGTTGTTATTATTATTATTATTATTGTTATTCTATTGTTATTGTTATTATTTTTATTTTATTTTATTATGATTACATTATTTCATAATATTTTTATTATACTTGAACAATAATATTTTCAATAATATTATAGAATATAATACCATACATAATATTACCAATTATGTAATATAACAATTAATAGATTTTATTTGATTTTCATTTGAAATTTACTTACCAAATAAGCTTTATTACAAAAGTTTTGGGGGGAAAATTTGTTAGGAGGATTTTACTTTTATATAGATATATAGATATATAGATATATAGATATAGATTTCTGTGTTAACTTCAATACGAAAGATTAAAGACAAAATGATATCAGTTCTTTGCCTAACTCAATTGCAGCCTCTTGGTAACTAGTTTTCTTTCCAGAACTGCTCTAAAAGAAGACACAAATTCTCGTGAACCTGCTGGATGATCTTTTCGGCTATCAATTCTAAATTTGGATGTAAAATGGAATACTCCTTCCATTCTTGATCATCTTGTGAAGCACATACATGATACATTAAAAACAATATTACAAATTACAATTTAGACATACACATATTCATCAGAGACTCACGGTGAATTATCACATAGGCTCTGTTTGGCAAACCTAGCTGAAAGCTGAAAATGAGCTGAAAAGCTATAAGCTCGGAGCTGAAAACTAAAGATCTGTTAAGCTAGCTGTTATGATTGAAAGTGTTTGGTAAAATTAGCTTTTTGATCAGCTGATAAATGTAAAAGGACTAAAAATGATATCTCCGTAAAATTTAAATTAGTTTGTTTACATATTAAAATTTAACATTTTGTATTTTAAAAAATTAACATTTTAAAATAAAACTATTAGCATGGTCATGATATAGCATCTCATAATGAAGTAGCAATATTGTTCCAAATCTAATAATAATAATAATAATAATAATAATAATAATAATAATAATAATAACAACAACAACAACAACAATAATAATAATAATAATAATAATAATAATATTTGTGGTGAAAGTTGTGGATAAAGGAGAAGAGAAAAAGATCTTAATTGGGAAGGGTAAATTATGTCATTTCTTTAAAATAATAAGGATAAAGATGAAAAAAAAAAAAAGTTAGGAAGCTATGAGCTTATTTTGAAACGCTACCTAAATAAGCTCTGCCAAACAGAGCTTAAATAAGGTAGGGTTCCAAAATAAGCTCTTATTTTAAGCTATGAACTTATTTTGGGAACATTACCAAACAGAGCTTATAGCTTGTTAGTAGCTTAAAATAAGCTATAAGCTCCTAAATAAGCTTTGCCAAACAGAGCCATATTCACAGTGAGTAAGTGATTGCTCACATTCATTCATATTATCAATTCATCAATTTTTATCATATAAAAGTGTGAAAATGGTCAAATAAATTCCTAAATTTGAACAAAAATATCAATTAGGCCCCTGAACTTTAAAACAAATCAATTAAACACTTAAACTTGTCAAAATGAGTCAAATAAGATTGATTTACCATAATATCACGTTCCAACTTCCGGTAGCTTTTCTACCGGAGAAGACGACTGGTCGTCTTCTCCGATGGAAAAACAACCAGTCCGGTCACCTTGTGGAGAAGGGGACCAAATCTAGTCGCCTTCTCTACTAGAGAGGCAACCAGTCCGGCGGCCAGTTGATTGCCTTCCGCCGTAGATGGCGACCGGCGACGGCTTGGTCGTCGCCGGAATGAAAATGACATGTTATAACAGGTCATTTATCGGTTCATGGGCTTTATTGACTCATTTTGATAAGTTTAAGTGTTTAATTGCTCATTTTTAAAGTTCAATGTATAACAAACGCATGGGCAGCTCGATTCGCATACCTTATAGTAAAATTGAAGCTAACATCGCTAAATTGCTTTCCGACTTCTTTAATATTAGAAATAATAATACCAAACTCATAATTAAAATAAGTAGCATGCAAAGCAGTAATAACTAATTGCGCATTTGTTTCCGCGTCCACTTTGTCGATATTCATCTCCTTTAGCCAGCTTAGACCTCTTCCCAGATACTAAGAACCTCTACCACCTTCACCGATTAGCACCCCCGTTGATATTCATCTTCCCGTATTTATCTTTATCTCTCATCTCTTTCGAATTATTATTTTTACCACTATCACCATCACCATTATAGAAAAAAAAAAAAAATGATGAGTGATATTTGTAATCTCAACTAATTTTTAGTACGTCTTATTGCTTAATTGGTCAACGTCATTTATAGTATCCATTCCAATAACGTAACTCCTTTCTCCACTTTCCTGTCCTTCACTTCCCGTTTTCTGCGATCTCTTTCCCCAAAGTTTGTCTTCGATCCCCTCTGAAAATGGAAGAGAAATCCATGCCTCTCGAAGTCTTCGGCATCGAAGTCAGTAACAGCGACCATGGATGGAAAAAGGTGTCGTATGCAAAGAAGCAGAAGAAGAATCAGCAGAAACCGTCGACGGATTCCTCGAGGATCACGGTCACCAATGGATCCGGCGCATCCGGCGCGGACAATGTGTTCGGGTCGCTGGAGAAGCATGCCGAGGAGCGGCGCCGCAAAATTGAAGCTCATTATGCCGCGATGAATGCTAACGACGATGCTCCTGTGAGATCAGCCACGAGGAATCGTTCCGATGACGAGGATAGCGATTTGGAAGGCGGAGCCATGCAGAATGGAGCTGCGGATGAGAAGAAGAAGGAGAAGCAGAAGAAGCCGAAGGTCACTGTGGCTGAAGCCGCCGCCAAGATAGATGCCGATGATCTATCGGTTTTCCTTGCTGACGTTTCTGTGAGATCATTTTTTGCTGATTGATTTTTATATTTACTCTGAACCTTTGGAATTGTGTGTTTTTCACTTTTGGTTCAGATTTATTTGATGCATGCCTGATTTCAAGGCTTAATTTTGATTTTATGTTGACGCTATTATATCATTTCTAGGCGACTTTTGAATCACAACAAGATATACAGTTGATGAGATTTGCGGATTACTTTGGACGAGCATTTTCAGCTGTGACTGCTTCACAGTTTCCATGGTTGAAATTGTTCAGAGAGTCTACTGTTGCAAAGATTGCAGATGTGAGTATAGTCTGTCATATCCTTGTTACTTAACATTTTTATGGGTCTTAACTAGCAGATTAGAGATTGCACTAATGCATCTAATTCTGATAGTGGCATTTGGATATGTAATGCATACTGTTCGTGCTCTTGTAGATCTTTTAATTTTGCAGTTTTTCTCCTTTGAAATTCTCTGAGCTGCACATTCTCTGGTATCGCAAGATGGAAGCTTTTCACTTATGCCATTTAACCTTTTGGGTAGAATTTGTTGTACTAACAGATTATTGGCATTATTGCTTCTACTGAGAAAAATTTTTTTTAAGTAGCTTTTGGGCATTTAATGTAAACTATTGACTATTTTTCATGTTTTATTACAAAATGTTGTGGTGGCTAAAATGGTTTCTTATTTAATTATGTGTGCTCTTATAAGCATTTTGATATTTTGCTCCTATGAATGATCTCATTTCCCTTAAAAGTATTTTGATATTTTGCCTATGAGTGATCTCATTTCCACATTATCTGGTATTTTCATAGGTTAATTGCTTCTCTCTATACTCCAACTGCTTACCTTATTCAACTATGTTTTAATCTCTTATACAATTAGGGATGTCTACATGGTTCTGTTTCTCCATTAAGACCTTGTATCTTTTCTCAAAATGTTAAATGAATGCATTATCCTGGATATGGCATTTCCTTCTTTGATAATTAAATTATCTGATTGACTATCAACAGGTTCCTGTTTCCCATCTCTCTGAGTCTGTATACAAGACTTCAATTGACTGGATCAATCACAAGTCTTTTGAGGCTCTTGGCTCCTTTGTGCTATGGTCCCTAGAGAGTATCCTGGCAGACTTGGCAATCCAACAAGCTGGTTCCAAGGGCTCAAAGAAAGGTGTCCAACAAACATCATCAAAATCTCAGGTATCTTCTACCTAAGGATTTTTCAGGCAAAAGCTTCTACTCAGAAGCTCTTATTGGAACTTGGAAGCTCTCTGTTAACAATATTTTTTTCCTTTTTTTTTTCCCCTGGATGAATGATTGACTTATTTATTTTGCATATGAAATTTGCTGCTTTGAAACAGAGATCTAGTCTTGCTATATTAGTAGAATAAGTTGCTGATATGCCAAAGTTTGGGATGACTAGTCCTTTCCTAGGCTAGTCCTATCCCATGTTTTCTTTGCTTTCTTTTGAGGAAGTGTTCCATTTCTTTTGTTTGTGTATTTGTGTGGGTTGAGAGAGGTTCAGTGGAGCTTCTTTTTCTTCTATATACACTATACGGTGAGATCATAATATGTTGCACCCAGGATAATTATGGTTTCAATCAGTCCAACAGGCATTACATATTAGTGTTGTCTTTTTTTCTTTTTCTTTCTTTTCGTGTTATTAATTAGTATTCAGCTGTCTATTTTCCTAGCCTGTGTAGTCTCAATGGAATTTTTACTAAATAATAAAAAATAGTCGACTGCCCAATGAATAAAACTTTTCCTAGTAAATACTATTATTATTTTCTCAAGGACTTCTATGTCTCCCTAAAGCATTTTATTTCCATTAGATATGTGGGGACAAGAAATATGTTGTGCCTTGACCCTAAAGTATGACTTTTGGGGATAGTGTTTGTCTCTTCAATTGCTTTTGATCAAGCTTGTACATGTTTCCAATTGAAGACAGGTCTGTAATCCATGTTGACTTTCCAATTAGGAAAACACCATTTGTCATTCTGGATGACCTCATCATACTCAATCTTACATCCATGGATTTTATCTGTTCCAAAATGCTTTCTTTCTAATATTGAGTGGGCATAGATTTATCATGTCTGTTCTCTCTCTCTCTCTGTATGTGGTTGTCTGTGTCAGTATTCCAAGACTATTTTGTGATGTTGGAGAAACGTCTGGATAGTGTATACTGTGAATTATATTTGAATTTTGAAATTGACAAATTTTGACCCACTTTACAATTGAATTTCAAGTTCATGTAGAGGCATTGTTAGCACTTCCCATTAAACTATGAGTTTATGAGTTTATTTTTAACTGTGACAGAATACAATGCTAGAATTCTTCTCCCAGTTTTTGGTAAATACTTGTTGATAGCCTTTAACAAATGGCCATATCATGCATTATACTTTGTATTGCTTGCAGATAGCTATGTTTCTGGTTTTATCAATGGTACTGCGAAGGAAACCTGATGTTTTAATCAACCTGTTGCCAACATTGAGGGAAAATTCGAAGTATCAAGGACAAGATAAGCTTCCTGTTACAGTATGGATGGTAGTTCAGGTGGTACCTTGTAGCATGGTTCTTTTGTTAGTTGTTTAGTATGAATTGGCATGCAATATTAATGCTGTAATATTTTTGTGCAGGCTGGTCAAGGTGATCTGTGTGTTGGGTTGTACTTGTGGGCACATTATATCTTGCCTTTAGTTGGAGGAAAATCAGGTTCTAATCCACAAACAAGGGATCTGATCTTGCAGTTAGCGGAAAGGTCAATTTACTGTTCTGGCTTGTGTGCTTTCTTTGCACTTGCATACTTGCATTTTGTACAAGTTTCTAATTTGTTTATTTGTGTGGTAACAGGATTCTTGCTGCACCTAAAGCTCGTACTGTTTTGATAAATGGTGCTGTTAGGAAGGGAGAACGTCTGGTGCCACCATCAGCACTGGACTTGTTGTTACGAGTGACATTCCCTGCTTCTTCTGCCCGAGTTAAGGTTGGAATCACTTTATCACTTTCAGTGTCACAAACCTTTATTTGCTCATTACATAGTGGATTCAATTGAGTGATCTTGCTTTTAATCTTTTTTCCAGGCAACTGAAAGGTTTGAGAAGATATATCCCACCCTCAAAGAGGTTGCCCTTGCTGGCTCTCCTGGGAGCAAAGCTATGAAGCAAGTTTCCCAGCAGATTCTTTTACTTGCTGTAAAAGCAGCTGCTGAAGGTATCTTGGACTTAGATTAAATTGCTTGTCATTGTTTCCTGATTCAACTCTAGCTGAGTAGCTGACTGATGAGTTCTCCATGTACTTCTTACAGGCATTCCGGAGCTATCTCGGGAGGCTATTGACATTTTTGTCTGGTCTTTGTCCCAAAGTGCTGATTGTTACAAGCAGTGGGTATGTATTGCTCCGAACATTTTTTATTGCATTGTTTCTTGTTCTTTCCAATCTCCTTAATTCCATCTGGTCAATGGAATCTGAACAGGACAATATATATGTGGATAACATCGAAGCAAGTGTTGCTGCCTTGAAAAAGTTGACAGATGAGTGGAGAGTGTTGTCTGCAAGACAATCTTCTCTTGAAGCTCTGGGTGTAATGCTCAAAAGTTTCAGGCATAAGGTAGAGCATTTTTTCATTCCCCATTGTGTAGTTGTGTGAATGAGCAAATCACCATGCTGTTTTATCTGACTTTATTCCCTGTCTACTTGTGTGTAGAATGAGAAATCCTTAACAAGTGGGATTGACGTTGCTCGCCAATCACTCTTCAAAGATGCTGACAAATATTGTAAGGTGCTGTTGGGAAGAATATCACGTGGACATGGGTGCCTGAAGAGTTCAGCCTTCATCATTGCTTTACTTGGTGTTGGAGCAGCTGCCATTTCGCTAAACATAGAGTCATGGGATTGGAACAAGTTTTCAGTGTTGTTCAATGTCCAGCAATCCTTATAGGCAGCAAGCGAATAAAACAGATTAACGTTATACCCCTTCAACGAATCATGAGGCCAAAGTAATCAAAATCCGTCTGGAATAAATGGGCAGAGAGTGAGTAACTTTATGTAATAGTAGTTCGGTATTTCCAATATACTTCAAAGGATTACTGTTTCTGAATCAAAAGGGGACTAACTATGAGCCCCGCCATTTTAACTTTAAAGGGATAGCTTTTTATACTCTACCAAGCCCTCTCCAAATTATCAATACAGGGATGGAAATCTACTTTCGAGAGAAAGCTAAAATGACAGGTTTTTATACCCTACCAAGCTTTCTCATAATGCTAATACAGCTACAGGGATAGAAAACAGACTTCTGAGGGATGTGCTTTGTTTCAATAAAGGATTTTGGTAATTATGTTCTTTGCAGTCTTCTTTATTACAGTCATTACTAAGTCACTTCCAAATTGCTGCTGAATATTTCTTCTTCATAAACACATTGTTTTTGTGTCTGCATGTGCTGTCTGTTCGTATGCAGCGTATTGAAAGGGTATAGAATTTACAGTATGTTTATACACAAAACAATTCTGTATATTGATAGCTCAGACATGAGTAGAGGAAAGAAGAGAGGACAAAAGAAGCAATTTAGGCAGCTTGTGGATTAGTCATAGTCCTCCGGAGTTGCCCATGGATATTTCCGGTAGATGTTTCTGCCCTTAGAACTGTCTTCCGGCACCGACCAGGGGTACTTCATGGAAGGGTCTTGTGGCAATTTCCTGAAGTTGAGAAATGGTGCCCACAGCACCAAGCTGTACATGAAACCATATATTATTCTCAAATTCCAAACAATGAATTCAACAACATTATATTAGTATTTAGTAGAGATAGGGATAGGGATGAGCATGCTCTGGTTCAAACTGAATCGTGCACGGTAGAACTGAACCAGAATCGTGACAGTTCCAATTCCATAATATCAGGAACCATATGGTTTTGGTTCCAAATCGAAAAAAAATAATTAAAGTTTAACTATTATTTGATTAAAGTTACAAAAGAATTATTGAATTTGGACTATTTAAAAATAAAAAATAGAAAAAAAAAATCGATTCGAATCAATGGTTCAAACCAGAATTGGCGGTTCACCATTTTCCGGAATTTAACCGTGGTCACCAATAATAGACAACTTACCCAGGGAAATTGATGAAGACACACATGAACTGCACATACATCTCCAACAGATTCCTCCTATACCACCTTATCCTCAGCCAATTCATGAGGATAGGCTGCAAATCCATCCACAAACACTGAGATCCATTTACTAACTTCAAAATTTATCCAGTTTTCTAAAAAATTAAAGAATTTAATATTTAATTTAATAATAATAATAATAATAATAATAATAATAATAATAATAATAAAACATATTCACTAACACAGTTTTTCATTTTGAAAATTAAAAACATTTTATTTTTCAAGAACTTATAATAATAACTAACTTAACCACTTACCGGGAAAACAATGAAGTAGAAGAAGGCCGAAATCCCTGATTGAATCAATATCCATATCAAATCTTCTTGTCCATTCACTCCCGTCACCGCCAGAGCCGGCTCTACACCTCCCTGCCATAAACTCTTACATCTTTTAAGCTTTGTTTCATAACATACACAATTGGAATTCCAATTCCCCCTTTTTTTTTTTTTACTGGAAACAGAACATTAGCGATAAGAAGAGGGAACATATATAAGAAATAATGAGTGTCTTAGTAGCTTACAGTGGCCAAGATTGCTGCTATTTGGATAGCTAATACAGACTTTTGGTTAGCCCAGCATCGGGTGGCTTTAGTATTATTGATGTTTTTGAATGCCTAATATCAATCAATCAAGAATACATAAATTTGATGATGAGGATAACAACTAAATTAGTAAAGAGAGAATGAGGGTGTAATTACCTTTATGGGGATAGATAGATTAAGCTTTTTGTGTTTGGAGGGAGGGGAGAGAGAAGGCAGAGGCTTGGGGAGATGGGAGGTGGTGGTGGTGAGTGAGAAGCTCATCTCTCAGCCAAGCTGTGAAGGGAAGAGGGATGTGTTATTTGTTTGATTCTGAGTGGAATATATATGGTTGAGAATTGTTACTTCTTACTTGTTAGTCATTTGAAAATTATATAAATAATAGTTTTTTTTTTTAACTATTATTTTTATCATATTTGATGTGACTTTTTTAAATTAGAGGTTGTAGGTTCAAACTTTAATAGGATAGTGATTTTTTGTGTTTTCATAGATTAAAAAAAGTATGTATGGACACGTACTATATTGATTGATGATTTCATTCATGATGTTTGATCCCTTCTCAATCAATTCCTCTAGACTCCAGTTCTTTATTCTGGGCAAAATGTTCATTTGACCTATATATATGTATTCAAAATTATTTGCAGAAAAATTGGATTATGGTTTATTAATTAGATATTGATTTTCTAGGAGATTCCACCAATGTCGTTTCTTGCATACCCAACAAAGCTATCACAGCATCACCTCAACAAACCCAGAATCCAAACCCCTATACAGGCCGAGGCTGTTCAATACGGAGTATTATTTATGGCATAAACGCTTCACTTAAACGGATATGGCCCTAACGCTCCCTACCCATCTCAAATTCAGGCCTCCCAATCACCCAAAACGTTCAATCTTGCCAACCCATCTGGCCGTTTTTACAGTTAGAACAACAAAACTCACCCCTCGTACCCTCTCTTCCTTCAAACTTCACTGCAGTGATGGAGAGACTGATGTTTCTGCCACCACCCAGGAGCCTGCTTCTCCTGTAAGTTCCACTTTTGCCTGGATTTGTTTTTTGCAGTTGGAATTGGGGTTTTTGTTTTATTCAAGATTGCATCTTTTGTGTGTGTAACTATGGTTTGGATTGTGGGTGTTGTAGAAATAGTTCATTTCAGTTGAGGTGATTCATCCATGGAAAAAGATCGAAATTTGTTGAGATTAACCCGAACAAAAATCAATAACAATGGCAGAAAAAAACCCAGACTCCTAACCAGAGCGGTCTATTGACCTTCTTAGTTTGAGTCTGTCAGTTGTCCTTAGAAAATCGAGAAGACAAGATTTAGGCACCTCCATGGAACAGAATTGTTCTTTTATTAATTGGGATGGTGATAAAACATTCAGGTTACAAACAACATATTTATATGCAACCTTAAACATGTACATGTGCAAAATTACCTGAGCGGTCTATTAGCTTTCTTAGTTTGAGCCTTGAGCCTGTAAATTGTCCTTTGTCGGCTAGGGTCACAAGGCGGGTTTACACAGTACATGAGTAGTGGCTGCAATTTTCCTGTTACCCAAAAGGACAAGGGTAGAGAATAGAGAAGACAAGATTTACGTGGTTCGACAATGTGTCTAAGTCCATGGAACAGAATTGTTCTTTTATTAATTGGGATGGTGATAAAACATTCAGGTTACAAACAACATATTTATATGCAACCTTAAACATTTACTGTACCCATGGATATTGAAGGATTGAATTCAACTGTTTCGTTGATATCTCGTTGTTCAAGTGAATATATTATTCTCTGTTCTTATCTTTTCTGGTTACTGTTTTTGTTGCAAAACTGGGTTGCCGTGTTCTTTCTATAAACATGATAAGTAATGATAGAGTGCATTACTCCTCCATTTCCAGGATGTTGATACCACAGGGGACAGCATGTCTACTATCGGTGATGGTTATGTGGCATTGTTCGTCCGAATGCTGGGTTTAGACAACGATCCTCGTGATAGACGAGAGGCAATAGATACCCTATGGAAGTATTCACTCGGGGGAAAGAAGTGCGTAGATACCATAATGCAGTTTCCTGGCTCAGTCAATCTCACTGTGAATCTTCTGAAGTCGGATTCTGATTCTGCACGTGAAGCAGCTGCTGGCCTTTTGAGAGTGGTGTCATCGGTGAATGTATACCGGGATTCCGTGGCAGAAAGTGGCGCAATAGAGGAGATAACGGGCCTATTGAGGCGATCTTCTTCACTATCTTCTAATGTACACAAGTCTACCATTTCACTCTTTTTTTGCACACATCTTTATTCATGTGGTGTAACTTTAAATTAATGTATATATAGGTGAAGGAGCAAAGCCTTTGTACGTTGTGGAATTTGTCGGTGGATGAGAAGCACAGAATAAAAATGGCAAATTTCGATCTCTTGCATGTACTAATGAAGTTACTGGAAGACGACGAAGTGAGGGTGATCGAGGCAGCTGGAGGGGTTTTGGCTAATCTGACATTAAGCAAATTTAATCACAAGATCATGATTGAAGTTGGCGTTATTCCGAAACTGGTGAGTCTCACTTCATTTTTCTTTGTTTATAAAGAAAATTCTAGTGCTATTTCTCAACTAATTGTTCATTCTGACATTAAGCAAATCTAAGACCAATGACCTTGTAGTCTAGTGACACCAAGTTGCTCTCTCATATGGGAGGTTGTGAGATCGAGCCTCAGTGGGGGCAGTATTGACTCTTTGTGGCTTTGTGCTTCAGTAGGTTGAGAAAGTAGTTATGAACAGATACTGCATTGTAACAGAGTCAGTAGTACTCAACAAAAAAAAAAAAAAAACTTTTATTATCATACACAACATGCAGGCCAGACTATTGAAAACGGGTATGGAGGGGTCTAAGGTGATTAGAAAAGAAGCGAAAAACGCATTGTTGGAACTCGCTAAAGATGAGTACAACAAGATTCTCGTTATGGAGGAGGGTCTAGTTTTGGTCCCTTTGGTCGAGCAGAGATCGAAAGTCCCTTCACCGTTTAACACCGAGGAAGCAAAGGCGAATGCAATGGACGGTCAAGCGAGACAACGATTTCTCGACCGTAAAGGGGCTATAGAAATCGAAGATAATAAGTTAAACAACGAATCAAGTCGGTTTACCCTTTTGCCATGGACCGATGGCGTGGCTCGATTGGTTCTTATTCTCGGACTTTTTGAAGATGAGTCGGCTGTTGCCCGAGCGGCAGAGGCGATCGCTGATGCATCCTTCAGCGAACATATGCGTTTTTCCTTTATGGAAGCCGGTGCTGTTAATCGACTAACTGAGCTGATCGATCATCCTAACGACAAAATAAGATGTGCTGTTGTTCGGGCTCTGGAAAGGCTATCTGTCAGGTTTTTCTAAATTATCGTAATATTTTACGTTTCGTATTAATATTTTAATTGGAAGTTGTGCGAGATGATTTATACTGTTGAACATCCGAAGTTTGTTATAAACCCTTCCGTATCTTTTGGTGCAGCAATGCAGTTTGCAAAAGACTAGAAGAGGAAAATGTTTTGCGTTCTTTGATTAATTTACTGAATCGCTTAGAGATCTCTAGCAACATTACAAAAACGGTACAGTATTTTATATTCTTTCTACCGAAACTTTTTTGAAATTCACGAGTCATAATTATTTCGTACTGCTGGAATAAGAAACAATATGCCTTGCCTGCAGATTCTGGATATTCTTACTCGAATTCTCGATCCTAGCAAAGAAATGAAATCAAAGGTTTGTAGCTATTTCTCAGTAGACTTAGGGGTTTTTTGGTAAAGCTTATTTAATTAGGATATTGGGGTTGTAGATTAAATAATCTACTTTTTACATGTTCCACAACGATTGTGAATTATTGATTATCCAAACACCTTTTGGCTTTGTTAAGAGTCCCACATTGATAAAATAAGAGAGAACATATCGGTTTATAGGCCATGGGTTAGACTAGCTAATTGGTTGGATTCAATCTTTTAGTGTGAGTTGGCACATGTGTATTATAACATGGTATCAGAGCCTGTTTGGTGGCGTCCAAGCTTTTCCATGGAGTCTTTCTTAATGACCCTATTTTTATCGTTGTTTAGTTTTTCGAGGGACCAGCCAACTTTTCAGAGAAGGGATGGGAAGAAACAAGAAACATGGGACTTGGAGGAAAGGAGAATGAGAAAGCTGTATCAACTACGAGGTTTTTTAATATTTATATGTATATGCCAAGTCGTTGATTTTCACGATTGTTTCATTGGCATGTAATATATATATATATATATATATATATATATATATATTCTGGCTATCTGCATATGTTAACCCTTTGATTCCCGTTCTTGTAGCTTGAAAACTACCAACGCGGTTGATGTTCTGGATTCTGCGGTTCTTACTCGCCTCATTGATATCTTGAAGACATCGTCCCCGGATGTGCAGAGAAAAGTTGCTTCGATCCTCGAGTTTGTTTCAGTTGTTGAACCGTGCGCTGAAAAGATAATCTCAGTTGGCATAGAATCCGGTTTAGATGCTGTTTTTAAGCAGGAATCCTTGAAAGGTATGAGATACTTGTGCACGACTTTCAATTATCAGAGAATGCTTTCATCGTTTCTGTTTCTCACTTTTCCGTGACCCGAAGATGTACCTGAAAAACTTCTTGAGAATACAAGTTTTTTTATAGGGAACTAGCTTAATGCGTATTGTTAAGAGTCCCACATGGATAAAATAAGAGAGAACATATGGGTTTATAAGACCATGAGTTTGACTAGCTAATTGGTTGGATTCAATCTTTTAGTATGGTTTGGCCCGTGTGCATTATAGCTCAGTTGAGTGACCTTAGCCCAATCTTAATCCCGTCTTCTGCTTGGATTTACAGAGGAGGCGGATTTTGATTTTGATGGCCAGAAACCGGAACTACATGCCCTCGAAATTGAAGAAGCTGGTAACGCTATATCTGCAGCATCTCGGCTTCTAACGAGATTACTGGACTTTGAGCATTTCCGGCGTAAAATAGACGCATACCACTTCACTAAACTGCTCCGAGGGGTCCTCAAGTCCGACATCCCTCTTTATCACAAAGATTGGGTCGCTGCCTGCCTTGTCAAACTCAGCTCTCTATCCGGCCCCTATTCCGGCTTCGAGAACCCGATCAACATGGAGGTGACTCTCTACGAGACAATCCCGAGGCTGGTAGAACAGATGAGAACCTCGTTTTCACCCGAGGTACAGGAGGCTGCAGTCGTGGAACTGAACAGGATTATATCCGAAGGAGTGGTGGACTCCACCCGGGCCGTCTCTGCCCAGGGGGGAATCTTCCCGCTGGTGAAGCTCATAGAGAACGGGACCGAGCGGGCTGTGGAAGCGGGGCTAGCAATACTGTATAATCTAAGCATGGACAGCGAAAACCACGCGGCTATCATAGCTGCAGGAGCAGTCCCGGTTTTGAGGAGGATCGTGCTCTCGCAGAGGTCTCATTGGACCCGCGCCCTTCGTTTGCTTAGGAATTTACCCACCTGAAAAGCACCAAAAAAACAAAAAACATGAATGAAATGCAAATATAGTACAGGATATATGTCTGTTTAGGATTGTTGAGGGACAGTGTTGTTCAGAAGAGAAACCATTTCAGATTCTTTACACCAAAGATAGTGCTTTACAGGCTGGTTGTGAAGATGATGAAATAAGTCATTTTTTTTTTTATTTGATTAATAAACCCTTTTCAAAACATTGTCTAAAATCTAGCTTTATTTTATTGTAGTTCAACCAAAGAATAAGAATGGTTGTCACTACATAAGTTACATTGTTTAGGGGGATTCTTGGAGCATCTTAGGTGGTATTAGGTATTTAGGTGGTGTCATACTTCTAGTTTCAACTTAAATATCAGCCATTTGTATTTTGGTTGTATCAACTAAAATATTGGGTATTTATATTTTGGTTGTATCAATTAAAATATTTTTGGTTGTAGTTAATAATACGGAAACTAATGTTACCTCATCTTGCCCAAAGCATAAAGTTTCAGTGTTTTCTTTAAAGAAAAGAGTTTTTAGACATGAGGTTATGGATGAGATGACGTTGGTCTCTTCTAGCTTAACCAGAGATTGGACTGCATTGTCATCTTTTAAGATTTTACCAAAAAAAACGGTTTCTTTAAATTATTTGAAAATATTTAAATCTTGAACTCTTTTTTTTTTTTTTTTTTTTTAAGCTTTAAATATATACTTGACTTTTGAATAAAAAAATAATAATTGAATTGGGATTTGTTTACATTGATCTCATCGTCTTGATTCTTGGATTTCAATTTGATTTAGTCTTGGCTTATAGTTTTACACCTTGCTTTATTCTTTACTTTCAGACTATACTTGTTGATACTTTTGTACTTCTTGGATGTGCTTAGGCCTTAGACTTTAGTCACACTTTCATTGTGAAGAAGGGATTTGTCTCCCTTTCAAAGTAAGGGTTTGTGGCACCTACATGTGGCTGTTATTCACATGTAAAAGTTGTTTAATTTCATTTTTTCTATTAATAGTGATATTGTTCCACTAAAAAAAATGTAATTGAGTTCTTTCAACATGTTCAGCATGAAAGTACTTTAATTGGTTAGCTAAAGACTTTTGACATTACCTTATACAACACATTACAGATAACAATTAGCCTGAGATATCTCATATATACGTGCTGGATTAGATTTTTTGATATTAACACCAAGCTTGTACTAGTAATACCATTAGCCAGTTTCCCATATAGAATAACCTAATTGCAAAACTAGAGCTCATCACTCCTAACAATGCCCCAAAAGGATTGCTAGAATCCCGAATTAAAGTCATCAACCTTCAAAGATTTATTGGACTTCATCTCATATATAAAGCTTCCTTAACCTCTTATACTTGAAATGGCCGCATAACTTCTCTTTTTGATATTATGTAATACGTTCCCTAATGCACTTGAGGACCAGCGTGCAGTTCCCTTGGCAGGAGACTCCTTGACTGACTTGATATCACGACTAAAGGCGACAATGTTGGGGTTCGAATCTCACTAAAAATATGAACGGGAAAAAGATCCAGGATGATAGAATATGTGGATCGGATTGGATCCCTTGTGCGCGCATGAAGACTAAGGTCTGACTGGTGGCTTGATTGTGCGACTCACGATTTAACATTTAGCATATTTAGTATTAAAAGTTTGCACTTGCAAAAATACGAAAGTATATTGCAATTAATTAGGATTTCGATTTTAGAGTTTTATGACTGAATTTTTTATTTTATTTGGTCCATTGGTTCACTTTTTAGTACTTAAGGAGAATAGTTATTCAAAGGGTTTTACTATTGGAATCCCGAAATGATCTATTCTCTTTGCAAGGAGAATAGTTATTTGAAGGAAAACCCAAATATTAGACTATTCATAAGTTCTCACAAATAACGTAACTTATATTATATTTGATAGAGTAATACTTAATTTATTCTTATCTATTTTTGTCATGTGTTATTATTATTATTATTATTATTATTATTATTATTATTATTATTATTATTATTATTATTGTTATTATTATTACTATTATTATTATTATTATTATAGTACATAACAAAAACAAGCTATTAATTAATAATAATAAATACACACAATAATAATAATAATAATAATAATAATAATAATAATTATTATTATTATTATTATTATTATTATTATTATTATTATTGTTGTTGTTGTTGTTGTTGTTGTTATTATTATGTGTATACATACATATATCAATGTGGAGGTTAATTTTATCATTGAATATCTATTACATTTCTATCTATTTCTTAATCCAACCAAACACTATAATACAATTTTTAAATATATTCCTCAATAAAATTAAATTCATATTATATTCCTTGCCTATACCATTCTCGATTAATAAGATTCATTTTTGTTTTGTGCTACATCCTTTTTTTTTGAAAGTTACTGGCTCTATTACATTGTAGTATCTGTTCATATACTTTCTCAACCTACTGAAACACAAAGGCTCGAACTCATAATCTTCCAAATGAAAGTTCAACCCGGGTACCATTAGACCACATAGTCCTGATTTTTGTGCTACATCCTAAATAACTCATTTTCACGCAATCGTGCAACATCCGTATCATTACTAATTACTAAATACGTGAACAAATAAGATCTAGAACTTTATTTTACCCAAAAATTAGTCTTTAATCACCTAAAGACTTCCCTAAATTATATTCCTACATCACTATGGTATCAAATAGAAACCAATAGATTATAATTATATTATATTATATTAACACTCCTTAAAGTATTTTATCAAATTAAATGTAAAAACAAGATGAATCATAGTCGAACTAAAAAAATTAGGATTTTAGGATCTAATGCCGATGTCTATGTCTCAGTCGTCGATTTGGGTTTCAGGGTCTGAGGTTAAGGCCATGGTCATAGCCGAAAATTCAAGCTTCGCTCATTTCGCTAATCGTCTTAGTTCTCTCGTCAATGATTCGTTTGATGGTTTAAGTTCGAGAAGAAGGATACCCCTCTTTAGTCCTACACAACAAGTATATATGTTGGATTTTTTTTTAAAGATTAATTGAAAATTTTAAATAAATCAAACATTTGAAATAACTTTCTAGTGAATTTAATTATTATGTTTTTAGAGATTGTTTAGAAATGTTGAAAATATTTCTGAAAAATGATTTCAAAAAATGACTCATTTTTGTTGAGGTGTTTGTGAAAATTTTAAAAAATGGGCTTAAAAAAAAAAAGTTTAAAGTGTGTTTGGTTGGAAGGAAATAATGATGTGGGAAAGGAAATTCGGTTGAAAATAATAAGGTGAGAATAAAGTAGGAATTCAAATTACGTTGTTTAGTAGGGATGAATAAAATTATTAGAATTGAGAATGAAAGAAGTAAAGACTAAAATATCCTTGTGTAATAATAATAGTACTAATAACTAAGGGTAGTAATGTCATTTCATCTATTTTATCCGTTTCCCCGTGAATTACAATTGCAATTCAACAAAAGGAGGGAATTGCAATTCCGTGGTTATTACTATTTTGCCTACATCCCTACAATACTCTTTCAATTTCAAAAAAGATCTCACATTCACATCACATCAAAACAAAAACTAAAACAATAAAGTGCAAAAAGCTACCGCAGCCTTTTGTCAGGGTTGCAAGCTTGCAGTCTTTTGTCAGGGTTGCAAGCTTGCAACCCATGTAATCATTAAAAAAAATTAATATTTTTTTCTTTCTACATCAACTCTATGTCATCTTGTAATTGCCCTTCTTTCATGGATAAATCCATCCTTAACAGAGTCGAGGTTAAAGATGAGGGTTTCAAGATCTAATGTCGATGTCTATGTTGGAGTTGTCGATTTGGGTTTCAATGTTTGAGGGCGAAGCCATGGTCAGAACCGAAGATTCAAGCATCGCTTGTTCCGCTAATCGTCTTAGTTCTCTCGTTCGTGGTTGGTTTGAGAGTTCAAGTTCGACGGCAAGGATACCCCTCATTAGTCCTACCCAACAGGTATGCTGATTTTTTTTTTTAATTAATCAAAAAGTGTAAACAAATCAAACATTTGAAATAACTTTCAAATGAATTGAATTGTTATGTTTTTAGGGTTTGTTTAGAAACCTTCGAAAACGGCTCATTTTTGGGGTAAAAAACTATTTTTTTTTTAATTTTTGGTTCATTTTTCAAAAAATGAACACACACACGTTAATTAGTTGAATAGTAGTAAAAAAGTCACACAATTTGAAATATTATTGCATTTGTGATATCCGATTGCTTATATGTGTCGGCAAATTATGTTGTGAGCACGTGCCCAACATGCACATGGTGCGCACGAATCTATATTCATAATTTTTATATTGTAATCCATAATTTCTAGATTCTTGGTGAGCTAAAATTTATACTTTAGATTCATAAATGTCACCATGTACATTTTGTGACATTTTCTATTCAAAATGCTGGAAACATAATGTAAAGGTTGGGTTGTGAGACTTTGGACACTATAGTGAAATTGAGAGTAATTCAAGCTTCGGTAATGAGCCACCTGTCACCTGAGATGACAGAAGTAAGAGAGGGTTTTTGGGAACTTTGAGTTAACATGACAATCATATTTTTTTTTCTTAAATGTTAATCAGGAAAAGCTAAATTATCTCTACATATTTCCTTATTTATGGTTACTCATTTTCTACCTATTTTCTTATTTATAATTTTTCATTTTGTTGATTTCTCGTCTTATAAATTATAATGGTGCATCCTGTCAATTTTGCACAATTTATATGCCATTGCTAGTTTCTAAATATGTGAACAAATAATGTAGAACTTCCTTTTACCCAAAAAATATATATTCTTTAATCAACCTAATGACTTCTCTAGATTTATATTCCAATGTCAAAATGGTATGAAATGGGAACCAAAAAAATTATAATTTATAATTATAATAATAAAAAGTACAGTTGTTAAGGTATTCCATTTCATTGAATTGAATGAATAAGCAAAATGATGAGACACCCAATTGGAGGGGCCGCCAAAAGCCACCCCGGTCCAACTGATTGAAAGAATTTTGCCCCAAAAAGTTGTTTGCTTCTCTCTCTTGTCCTCACTGGAGAAAAATTCCAGGCCTCAAGAAATCTTCTAGAGAGAGAGATCACAGAGGGATCGGGAGCCAACGGTGTAGAGAGAGAGATGGGTACGCTACAAACATGGAGGAAAGCTTACGGGGCGCTCAAAGATCACACCAAAGTCGGCCTCGCCCATGTCAATAGCGATTTCAAGGTCTTCTCTCCTTCTTTCATTTCATTGTCTATCCGTCTCTATATCCTTTGGGCTTGTCTATGTCTTCGAGCATTGTCTATTGTGTCGATTGAATTGCGGTTAATTGCTGATCTTCGATGCCCGATTTTTCGTTGGTTAGGATGTCGATGTGGCGATCGTTAAGGCTACTAATCATGTTGAGTGCCCACCCAAAGAGCGACATCTCAGAAGTGAGTGCTCTTCAATCTTGCTTTAGATCTATTTACTGTGTCTGGGATTCGTTTTTTTCTTTTGTTCTTGAAGTATATATTGTAAAATTTTGTGCTTTTTTATTTCTGGAACCCGGGTTTCGTGTTTTTGAGGAGATTGTGGTTCTCTCCAACTTTGGGTTGTCTGTTTTGGTGAAATCCAGAGAAATTGTGTGAAAGTGAAACAGCATCTTTCTGTATTGGATTTTTTAAGGAAATGTTTGTGTTTAGGGTCTGGCTCATCTTTTCTTTCATTAAGAATGGTTGAAGATGAAGTGTTAAACTGGGGTTATTGTATTTGGTTGTTTGTTGCAGAAATTATGGTTTATACATCTGCAGTGCGGCCTAGGGCTGATGTTGCATACTGCATTCATGCACTTGCTCGGAGATTAGCAAAGACACACAACTGGACGGTACGAACTGCAATTTGCAAATAGGGCTGAATTCATATGCTATGCTCTTTCTCTTTGCTAACTTGAAGTCTTGTTGGCCTGATTTCACTGTTTCAGTGCAAATTGCGTTTTTTAAATAAATTTTTGGTCCTTTGAATATCTGATGAACCATGATACTTTAAACAATAAGTTGCTTGTTTTCTTATCTATGTAATTGCATTCTTCTTTAGGGAAGATTTTCTCTATAAAAAAACAGAAGTCTGGTATCTATTTCTAGCTTATTGCCATTTTGAGTAGTTCTCGGCAAACTTTCAATCCAAATAGCTACGAATTTGAGGACCTGTGAATGTTTTAAAGTTTTTTGGGACTCTATTCTGGATCTGATTGTGAAAGTCATAGAGGTATTTGTAGGTAGAACTGTTGTGGTTAGAGCAATAGAGCATAGTGAGTGATAAGGTGACATGCAAAAGAAAAGGTCAGGGATGAAGTGGCTTCAGAGTGATGTGAGTTATGCAAGAATGGTTAACCAGTAAGAATTGCAGGAAAAGTGTTGGAATGGGAAGGAAGATATCATTAAATGGCTGTTTACTTTTCAATTAATCACCCAAGGACCTGACAATCAACCTTTTGTGGCTTTCTCTTCTGTGTGTGTTATGGGATGGAGTATTTGTAATGCATACTTGATATTGTATAGTCTTTTTCTTCAGTATCTTTACACATACTCTGGTGTCTATAGTTCAGGACAAGGAAGGAATGGGGGAGTCAATTCTTACAAAATTAAAATGAATTTTACCTGGTTTCATTCTTTGCATCATACTCTAGTGTAGTAGTTAAACCTTGGTGGCTTTGCAAGAAAAATGGATGATAACTGTGAGAAGGCTTTATGGTTAAAAAATTTCAACCCTTTTGTACGTTGTGACAATTCTAGTCAAACCTTTTTAGTTAATAATTTAGTATCAAAATTTGAAATGTCGGGGTCATTCTAGCCAAATTTTTAACTTGATCCCAAAAATAAAAAATCAATTCTATTTGAATTGGCTTATATGTTTGTCATACGTAATTGAGAATGATTAGTAACAACTTTTGTAGAAACATAAATACTCAATATGTATTGAACTAATTGATACTTTTGTGAAAATAATGTCTAATGAAAAAAAAAAAAACGAATAAAATATGTTATTATTTAATCAATTTTTTAATTAATAAAATTGTTGGCATATTCAAATCAAATTGGAATTTTTGGGGGTCAAGTGAAAAAATAGGCTAGAATTGCAACACTATTTCAAAATTTGGTACTAAATTACCAATTTTACAAGGTTTGGCCAATAAGCCGTGAGAGAATTATCCAGTATTTTTTTTTTCTTCTTAAGTAATTAGACAAATACAAACAGGAAAAAAAAAAAGCATTTTGTAAAATAACCTATTTTTTAGACATATTTCATGTGTTGATTCATCCTTGCTCCAGATATGATAAGCATTTTACTTATAATTATTGTTTGATACCATATAGGTGGCACTGAAAACACTCATAGTAATCCATAGAACATTGAGGGAAGGTGATCCCACATTTCGTGAGGAACTTCTGAATTTCCAGCAAAGAGGTCGTGTTCTTCAAATGTCCAATTTCAAGGATGATTCAAGCCCTATTGGTTAGTACGAATATTGTAGGATGGTTCAATTTTCTTCCTCCCACGCCCTAAAGTTTTGCTTGAACTGTTAGAAGTTGATATTCTTGTGATTTATTCAAGTTTTGAACAAACCTATTATTCCTTTTACCCAGCTTGGGATTGCTCTGCATGGGTACGCACATATGCACTCTTTTTGGAAGAACGGCTTGAGTGTTTTAGGGTTCTCAAGTATGACATTGAAGCTGAGCGGCTTCCTAAACCTCCTGCCCAGGGGCAAGAAAAGGTGTTTCTATTGCTATTTTTTCAGTTATAACCTCCTGCCCAGAGTCACAATATGATTTAATGATTTCTCCTATTACATTTTAAATTTATTTTCCAAAACATAGTGAAGGACATGCACTTTTACTGTGAGGGGAGCAATGTTTTGATTATTATTGAGTTTGAGAAATTATTTGTTGATGATATTCTAGTTCATATATTATTGATATCTGAAGGCTACAAGTCTACAACATACGAGAAAGCAAATTATTTTGAACAGACAATTAATTTCCACAATTTAGGATTTTAGGGGGTTAAGACTTGTGCTCTGTTTCTTTTTATTTTTTAAAAGAAATATATTCTACTCCTACTTATCGAATCACCCCATTCCCCCACCAAAAAACAAAAGGAATAAAAAGCATGGTTGAAAAAATCGTTAGGCGCCCGCGTATTTTTATTTTTATTTTTATTTTATTTTATTATTTTTATTTTTTAAAAATTTGTTTAATTTTTTTTAAAAATTTTTAAGACTTGATAATTATAAACTATTTGATACTTTAATAGTTAATACTAAAATATTAAATATTAACCTAAAAAACATCTAGAGATTGAACACTTTAGGGTTATTTAGCGCACAATGATGTTGTTTTGAGTGAAATCACCCATTAAAAAAAGGGAACAATAGCTAATCGGCCGCCTAGACAACCGATTGTGGTGATACACTAGGCGGCCAGCCGGCGCGAATTTTGCAACATTGATAAAAAGAGAGGTACATGCTAGTCTAATGGTTTATGACTGATTTAGAACATAATAGGATTGAATATGCATGAAAAACTAACTTGATTGAACATAATAGGATTTAATATGCATGACAAACTAGCCCGGGAAGCCCTGTCCAAGTCTGACTGTGAGGACTGCTTTTCAGTCCCTTTTCCTTTCATTGTTCATGCTTTAGACTTTGATCTTAATTAATATATTATCAAGTTTCTTCTCAAAAAAAAAAAAACAAACAAAAAAAAAAAAAACTAGATTGAGGTTAAGGATTAGTTGAGTTAAGTACCAAAAGTTTTTAATTAACTTGATCTACACCTTTCGGTTACCTTGGGTTTCTAAATACTTGGTTGTTGTTATTATTATTATTATTATTGGGCTTTGGCTAAACGATATTACTGTATATACCACTGCAGATTAGGATTGAGTTGGGTTAATTAGGCTTTACACTATTACATCTTTGGTTAAACATAGCATTTTTCTTCTGTTATATCTTCTGAGTAGCAGGGCTACAGCAAAACTAGAGAATTGAACAGTGAAGAGCTTCTGGACCAGTTGCCAGCTTTGCAGCAGTTGCTCTATCGCCTTATTGGATGCCGGGTAAATTTATAAGGCTTGCATTAATGCTACATCTACCAGTCAATTCCCACTATTGAATAATTCATTTTAAGCGACTTAAGAGTTCATTATATTGTGTGATATGGGAGGTGAAATATTTATGATTTTTTTTTTTTTTTTTTTAAACAGCCTGAAGGAGCTGCTGTTGGAAATTATGTGATACAGTATGCACTAGCCCTGGTATGTAGTTACTTATTTTGTCGATTTCTAGTTTTAATTGTCTAGTGGATATGGTTTCGTCCTGTGAACGGAGTTCTAAAGAAATACAAATATGAGCAAAAGGTTGTGTACTATAAACGAAAGTATGTTCTGCTTATTAATACTGGTCTAAAGATTGCTTATAATTAATATCACCTTTCAGGTCCTCAAGGAGAGCTTTAAAATTTACTGTGCTATCAATGACGGAATAATTAATCTTGTTGACAAGGTGCATTGATTGATTGAACCCGCCGCTAGATTAGATTAATCCTTCAGTTTTTCGAGATGCCATTTTTACTGACATTTTTCTTCCATTTCAGTTTTTCGAGATGCCACGACATGAAGCTATCAAGGCCCTTGACATCTATAAGAGAGCTGGCCAGCAGGTGAAACTATTGTATTGTTTGCCGTGTTGCTTCAATCCTTCTTAGTATATGGTTTTATATCATGACGTTAACAATTTCAGAACTTTTCCCTTGGTGTTTTCGGTGATGCAGGCTGCAAACCTATCTGATTTTTATGAAGTTTGCAAAGGATTGGAACTTGCTAGGAATTTCCAATTTCCCGTACTCAGAGAGGTATTGGGAAAAGTCAGCTTTTTTGCGTCATTTAAAAAAAAAAAAATTAAATCATTAAAGATTTAATTTGAAGTATACTGGTTTCCTATTTGCAGCCTCCGCAATCCTTCCTAGTGACCATGGAAGAGTATATAAGAGAAGCCCCGCGGATAGTATCTGTTCCTACAGAAACTTTGGTATTATGCTTATCTAACACACATGTTCATTCATAGTAAAATATTGTTGGAAAAAATAGCAAACCAGAGAATTATGTTAAACATTTTCTGTGATAAATTAGGAATACCCGGAGAGGCTTATGTTGACATATAAAGGAGAGGATGAACTATCACCATCTGAAGAACACAAAGAATTGGCTGATGAACCCCCGCCACCACCACAACCAGCAGAGGATGTTGCAGTTTCAACCACCGAGATTCCTGCCCCCGTGCCTCCTGTCAAATTTGAAACCGATGATCTACTTGTTAGTCTCTGTCCCTTTCCTTACCATATGATCATAACTATTTCCTTTCCACTACTCGGTTTTTCACTTCTCATTACATTGCTCTGCTTAGGGGTTAAATGCTCCCACGTCAGATGTGTCTGCGATTGAGGAAAGCAACGCGTTGGCTTTGGCTATAGTTCCATCTGGTAAATTTTCTCGATTTTCATTCTCAATAGTGCTCCATGATAAAATATATTTGGCTTTGGCCCTAAGGCCAATTTTGGCTTATTTGACCACTATTAGTTGTTTGACTTGGTTAAAAAATTAATATAAGTGTTTAGTTAATTAGCTTTTTGTAACTCCAACATGCTAAAATTCAAAAAGCTGCTCAAAGCAACTTTTTCAATTAGCTTTTTGAGAAAAGAAATTATACCAAACAGCTAACAGCTAATTTACCAAACACCTTTCTACAATCAACTAATGTTATCAACTAGTTATACCCTCTAATTAACCCAATCAGCCAACAGCTAACATCCATTTACCAAACAGGGCCTTAGTCTATCAGCCAATTTTGGCTTATTTGACTACTGTTAGCTGTTTGACTTTGTTAAACAAAATATGAGTGTTTGATTAATTAGCTTTTTGTAACTTATTATGCTAAAATTCAAAATGCTGCTCAAAGTAACTTTTTCGATCAGCTTTTTGAGAAAGTCATTGTATGTAATCAGCTAACAGGTAACAACTAATTTACCAAACACTTTTCTACAATCAGCTAATGAGATGAAATATGTGTAGGGGCAACATCCGAAACTGTACAGCCCAAAGACTTCGATCCTACAGGATGGGAACTCGCCCTAGTCAGTACTCCCGGCACCAACTTGTCAACACCTCAGGAGCGGCAATTGGTAAGCCCCGTTATGCTTCAATGGCTGCTGCCATTGAAATCTGGTGATAATTTTAACGTGTCTTGTGTTGTTGGTTGGTTGGCAGGCTGGTGGATTGGATTCGCTCACTCTTAACAGTTTATACGACGAGGGCGCCTACAGAGCATCACAGCAACCAGTATACGGAGCGCCAGCCCCCAACCCGTTCGAAGTAGCTGATCCATTTGCCATGTCTAACGCCATTGCTGCACCTCCATCAGTCCAACTCGCTCCAATGCCTCAACCAAACCCCTTCGGTCCATTCCATCCGGCTGCTGCTGCATACCCACCTCAGAATCCATTGATGGTCGGGCCCCACAATCCTTTTGGCGACACGGGGTTCGGGGCATTCCCCGCAAATAATGGTGCTGCTGCGGGGGCGCACCAACAAAATACCAACCCGTTTGGGAGCCTGCTGTAGGAAGAAATGTAGGCGGGATTTCGGCATAGATGATTTTGGGGTGACAATATGAGTGCAGGCCATGGTTTGATGATGATATGTAGATTGGTTTTTTCATTGAACAAATGCATGCATGCATTGAGATGTAAAATTCATAAAGAAGAAGATTTGATTGCAGTGCGGTATTGTGTTATCAAAACTTCATGGTTTGCAAACTTCATAGTCATTTTTTATTTGAAAATATTATGTTTTTCCTGTTGTATATGTATGTGAGTAAATATTTAAAAGAAAGAAAGAAATGATACACTAAAGAAGACGTTTAACAGTAATGTGATTATATTTACCTTTTCTTAGGTAACGTAACATTATTTTTAACTTTTTTTTTTTTTGATTACATTAGAATTTGAACTGAATAAATTCTATTCTTGTGTAATAATAGCTTTCAAATCATACTGAAAGGTAAATTGTACTAATAATATTATATAAGACGAGTTCGATCATATAGTATTGGTAAGAACCTTTGAATATGAAAGTTATGGTCCATCCATATAATTATAAAATGAATTATTTTAAGATAATATTACATCTTGTAATCTCAACTAGCCAATAATTTCACTAATTTGAAAAGATAGTATTCCAATGGAATAGTATGAGTGGTTGACTGAATGCGCGGAGGATTTGGTCACTATGAAATTAAAATTTGTATTGCATAGATCTTGAAGGTCCGGGTCCCTAGGAATAATGTAGGTATTCAAATTACATTGTTTGGTAGAGAGGAATAGAGTGATTGTGAATGAGAAGGAAAAAGTGGTATAAAGACTAAAATGTCCTCGCGTAATAATAACAATAACAATCGCTCAGAATACTTTTGTCATTTCTTCTATTTTTCCTTTTCCCACAAGCATTGAATTGTAATTCTCTCCAACCAAACAAGGTTGAGGGCCTTCATTGAATTACAACTCAAATGAGATAATAAGTCTATTTTTAAAAATATTATTTCATTCTTCATCTATTCTGTGAAGCAAAGGTACTATGTACAGTGTACCACATGGGATTTAACCTAGTCAAACACTTCAATAGCACAAGAAACAGATGAGGCAGGACGGTGGAGGTGGTTGGGGGTGATGACATTAATTATATTGGTTGCATAAAGCTAGGAATCAAAGGTTGCATATCATATTTATTGGCTATAATAAATTGGGAGGCAATAAGTCAATTTTTGAAGTGTTGTGTTGAGGATAAAAGCAACCTCAATATGAGATTTTTTTGATAGAGAAAAAAATTTGGGATTTGTTATTGAACAAATGGAAGGGGGTATTTTAGTAGTTTTTTCTCTTATAATATATAGTTTTTTTTATGGGTTCTAAAGAGAGAGAAAGGAAAGTAAATTTGTGGGATAGTTTTTATATGTATTGGAAGGGGTGTACCCAAAGTAAACAAACAAGATCAGATATTACAAATATTACGCCAAACAGGAATTCCAGCTAAATCATCTTCTAATAAACCCTCTTGAATGTCTGGCAAGGTGATCTGCTATGCGATTTTGTTCGCGAGGAATAGCCAAAATTTGCCATTCTTCTAACCTGCTAAGTTCTCTTTTACACGCAGAAAGGATGTTATATTGTGCATCCGTATGCACCACGCATTGTGCATACGGATGCAAAAACGACGTCGTTTTATTAAAAACGCGCATCCCACTTAAAAAAAATCAGGTTCGATTCCCCTCAACAGCATTATGTTGTTCATTCATTCTAGAATTTTAGTTCAAAGATTTTGGAATTTTAGTTCATTGATTCTGGAATTGTAGTTCATCGATTCTGGAATTTTAGTTCATCGATTCTGAAATTTTAGTTCATAGATTCTGCAATTTTAGTTCATTGATTCTGAAATTTTAGTTCATTGGTTCTGCAATTTTAGTTCATTGATTCTGGAATTGTAGTTCATCAATTTTGGAATTTTAGTTCATCGATTCTGAAATTTTAGTTCATATGTTGTTGCTGGGAATTGAAATTGATTTTTTTTTTTTAAAGTGAGACGCGCGTTTTTAATAAAACGGCATCATTTTTGCATCTGTATGCACCATACATGGTGCATACGGATGCACAGCATAATTTGCCAAATTTGTGTGTTTCTGCGGGTTAGAAGCAAATCTTGATCCCAACTGGGTGCATAAATTTGTACATTTTATTCTTTCTTTTTTTTTTTTTTTTTTTTCCTTCTCCTCTCTTCTTTATCTTTCCTAGTTGTACCAACAATAATTAAGAAAAATCTTTTATTAATGAGGTAGCTCTAAGAGCAACCCATTAGGGGTTTTTTAAATAATTTTTACAAGTAGAAAAAATTGGTTATCAAAATTTTAACAAATGGGGAAGATGATTTTTAAAAGTTTTTTTCATTTAAATAATAATTTTTAGTGGAACCTGCAACTTGCGTGGGAGGGAAAAGGAGAAAAAAAAAAGTTGTTTTCTATGCGTAAAAACAACCTTTAAAAAAAAATATTATCAGACATTGTTTTCCTCTTTGTTTTTTAATCCCCTTATTGTCTCTCTCCTCTCTTCTAATTGTGTCGACAAATATCCTAAAAAATCTAACCATTGAGTTTGCTCTAAAATAATTTTTTAAAAAATAGGTAGGAATTTTTAATAAGATACAAACCCAACAAGAAGTTCAAAATCAATTGGTGATTTTAGAAAGTTGACTATCAAGACCATACCTAGGTGGCTAGGTGCAATGATTCTGCAAGTCAAATTTTACTTTATTTGACATGGAAGACATAAAAGCAAGGGGAATAATGTTACCATTTTATAATTTATGTAATTTAAAATTTAATTTTTAATTCTTCTTTCTTCCCATGGTACATGTCATATATATAATTATATACCACTATAATGTTACTATTTTTACTCTCAAATTTTATTTCCAACTTTTACTCTCTCAATAAATATTAACGTTGATAATTTTATTGAGACCCATAGATGAATATAACTAATCATCAATTATCACATCATGAAATAAATGTGAGGGAGTAGAAATATAGAGTACATGTAGTAGAACTGTTCTATAAATATGATCAAAATTGTCTTTTTGTTTTTTGTTTTTTTTTTTTTTTAATTTGTAAAAAAACTGTCTTTTTGTTGGTTACATTATTGATTATGAAAATTCAGATTTATTTTTCCCCTAATCTTCTGGCTAATCTCATGAGATATTCAAGAGTTTCCAGCCTTTTTTGTTGAATGTGAGTCTTTGGATTTTATGATTCAAGTGTGGGCGATCTTAGAGATTCGCGAGGTTCTGAAATATTCTTGGTTGGCCATTTGACGAGTCATCAATGAACCATCCAAAGAACTGATTAATGAAAAAGCGTTAAAGTTGAAATTGTTGACAGTTCACTGCTTGAAATTATCATTTTTCCGACCCTCATTTCCGACCACCCAAAAAAGTGGTCACAAAAAATGATTTTTTTGCATTTTTTCGTCCAAAGCTTTCACTGGTTGGAAAATTCCGACCACTATTTAAATGTGGTCAGAAATGTTTTTCAACTATTTTAAAATTTTAAAAATATTTTTTTTTCGACCATCGTTCGGTGGTCGGAAATAACATATATATATATATAAGGCTCAGCTCCACGACTTCCACAAATAAACGCATATGAATATCAGTCTTCTAGGGCACAGAAAAATTTTCTACTGTTACGCTATTTCTCTTCTAGCTTCTTCTTCGTGCGAAACGTTCTTTCCCTTTTAGCTTCTTGGTGCTGGTGACGATTGCGGTAGTGCGGCGAGCTTCTCATTGTCTATGACGGCGGCTCGACAGGTTTCTCGTTGTTGACGATGGCGACTTGTTGGCGACAGTGCTGCTATACCCCACTACCCACACAGGTTGTAGCCACGCCCTATAGCCAGCAGTTCCATATCCTCTCTTCATCTCAGCCCTAATTCCACAAATATAAATCCCTAATTCCCTAAATCTTCAATGTATTCTCTGTATATTGTCTATGAATTAGATGAATTCGTATAATGCCCTAATTTCATGTTTTTGTTCTAACTAGATGAATTCAAGTCTGTATCCACTCTATCTACAGCTTTGCTTCAATTTTTGTATCCAATTTTAAATATGCTTCTTCATCTCATAAGCAATGGTGGAGAAAACTGCGGGTGTCTTAAGAGAGATTCAGGTTCAATACTTTGTTACACTTACAATAAACTTCATTTCTTGTTCATTAGTGTTATTTATTTCGATCCAGATCACTTTGTTGTTTTACATAATAGGTTTGTGTTGTTATATGCTCTTAGTTTATGCAATTGATCTTGAACTTGGCACTAAGAAACTTGTATAAGATTTCTATTGCTTATACTAGTCTTCCATGAGGATCTTGGTGATTTGGAGGGTAGGTAGTATTTGGGTTGTATTTTACGTTTCAGTTTGCTTCTGTATTAGCTACTTTTGACTAATCAGTCTGTTGTCTTTCAATTATGTTACTTATTTACTTAACAAGCTACTTGCCTTTGACAGCCTGCAGATTGAGATGAGAATGAATACATAGATGACCCTGAAGATAAGAAGCCAGAGGTATGCCTTCCTAATTTTCTTTTTTTCTTTGTCTTTACTTGTGTATTCTAGAGAATTGGTAATGAGTCTGATTACATAGTTGTGAATTATCATGTTTCAGGCCTTACTTTCATGTCCAACAAGCTCAATCCACACTGAAAAGCCTGCCCGTGATATTTTAGAAGTACAAAAAACCTTTCCTATTCCAATAAATTAAATGAGCAGAGAATTACGGTATTGCCTACTCAGTTGCAGTTACATTTGTTTTAAGTTAATCATTATTGTTAACTTTTGCCCAAGATGCAAATAGAGTTGAAAGTGTGTATTATATATGTTATGTGAAGTGAATTTTTTGGCCATATTTTGAAATTCGAATCATGACATGCTTCAAATTTGGAGGTAATAACAATAAAATGAGGCAATGCCAAGGAGGAAGAAAGCAAAAAACACAAGCATGTGCCTACAAAAGAAAGCGAGAGAAAGCATGGCTTGTACCTAGAAATGTATCAAGAGGAAATGGGAAATGGGAAATGGCTTGTTGACAGGTACTTTTAGGTTATCTTTTGTCACTTAAATTTTGTTAATTTGATTACAAATATAATTATTGTAAATAATAGAAAACACTATGTATCTAGAGAATATATAAAAGACAAAATTTTGTTGCAAAATGTTTGCGAAAGAAAGAAATTTTTATCATGTCTCTTTCCCTGTATT